CACTGGGGTGCATGTGTACCCAACTCATTCTTTGTGTGTACCCCATCTACACTCAGAGGGAAACCCTTCAGACAGCACCTCCTCTTGTGAAATACTCTGATAAGTTGCAAGTTTGCTATTGTCCCAACAAATATGTTTACCTCATTAATCGTTAGTAAGCCACCTTTATTATGATTGAATATTAACTGAATATCCACCCTGTAAGAGGTCCCAGGCAAAGCAGAGGAAGTCTCCCCTTTGACCTAAAAATTTGTATTATTAAGCTGTCATGTAAACATGTGTCATATCCTCAGGAATTATTTACCTGTTACGTTTTATAGTTTTAAAATATCTTAAAGGCTGTGCTCATAAATTATCTTGTTTGAGCATCAAAACCCTGTGTGAGGGGCAGCAGTGGCATCGTGTTGTCATCATTTACTGCTGAGAAAATAGTCCAGGGTTTAGGGGCAACTAAGATCAGACCGTCGTGGGTGACTGAGCTAGGATTCGGACCCAGCAGCTACCATAGGGCCTTCCCCAGACACTGCTCCTCAGCCCTCCGAGAAGGCTGGCCCCGCTGCGGGCATCCTCTGAGCTGTCTTCTCACATGGAAGCTTCAGCCCCCGAGTCTGACTGCAGCATCTCAGACACTCGCCTTGAGGAGGATAGAGCCTGGGCCGCCAAGGGCAGGCAGGAGGCAGGCCTGGAAGGGGAGTTGGTCTCCTCGTTCTGAGACCCGTATCTCTTGGCTTTGTTGTCTTGGCTGCCCTTGGATGTACTTGTGGTTTTGAAAGGTAGCCAAAGCCAGAAGCCGGCCGCTCTTAAACCTGCTGCTTGATGCCACAGAAGGAGCCTTTGTTCTGCAGGCAGAGCAGGGCTTCTCGGAGAAGTCTGCAGATGGGTTTCCTCTTGACATTCGCATTGTTTGGTTGGTGTCCCTTGGATTCATCTGTCTTCAAGGATGAATTTTTATTCGAATCTGGGGCCTTCCTTGGGCCAAGGGGGGACCAGTTCCTGTTGTTGAGATGTCTGTGCTTCTGGGATAAAGGACCAGCGCTTGGAGTCCATTGCGGGGCCTTCTCCTCCTGTGGGTACGTGGAGACACGCGTTCCTGGGAACAGCTGCCCAGAGCCTAATTCCTCTGCCCC